GAGGAGGAGGAGGAGGAGGAGGAGGAGGAGGAGGAGGAGGATGAAAACGAGGACGATGAGGAGGCTTACCTTAGTGACCGTTAGAGGAGCAACTGTCGGTGATGGCTCGAACGGAGGTGGCTATGCCTACAGCAGCGGGGCAGCGAGTAGGAAGAGGAGGAGGAAGAAGAGGAGGAGGAGGAAGAGGAGGAGGAGGAGGAGGAGGAGGAGAAAGATGAGGAGGAGGAAGACGAGATGGAGGAGGAGGAGTGAGGTGGAGGACGAGGAGGAGGAGGAGGTGAAAAACGAGGAGGAGGAGGAAGGAAGGAGAAGGAAGAAGAGTAGGAAGAGGAGGCTCACCTTAGCAACAGGTGGAGGAGCAGCTCCCGACGATGGCTCGAGCGGGGCAGCGGGGCCGCATGGCAGCGAGCAACGAGGCAGCGAGCAGCGGGGAGGTGGGACAGCGGGGCAGCGGGGCAGGGAGCAGCGGGGAGGAAGGGTTGAGGGGAGGTGAGACTATGCAATTTCGAATTCAAAATTCGCCCGATCTGGGCCGTCGATCTTGGTAGACCGATGACCCAGATCGGGCCTTTGTTTTTTCGAAATCTGCGGGTCTTGCCCACGATCTGCTGTCGGAGCAGAAACCCTTACAAGGGTATCTGCTCAGGTTTTTCAATGTCGGACGCTGTCCGACGTTTTTCGTTAAATTGAGGGACTTGATGAGATTGGCGTCTGCCAGAAGTTTATTCAGACTAACTTATGACCGAGATTAAAATGTCTTGTCTAAATTTAGACGTCTACAGCCTGCAGAGCGGTGGTGGGGATCGTTGATATTACCGTCCACATTTCGTGATGCCGCAGAAGCATGCGGCTGATTGAAGTACTAAGCCTAATTTATTTATTTTATTTATTATTATTATTTTTTTTTACCAAACGATGACTCCAGTTTATTTGTGGGAAGCTGCACAAACTGGGAACCGGGCCCAACATCCTATAAATAACCAATTGACATAACAGTTAAATAACTGCACAACTCTCAGACCTTTTCACCCATCTCGGGGCGCCAGATAACACATGAACAAATCTAGCCTCAACTATAACTTTCTAGGCCGAATACATAGTGCTCGTAAAGATCCGAGATTTTCAAATCTCCACTGAAAGATGAGATAACATTCATTCAATGTAATGTTTGTATCAACTATAAGCATGAAGCAGAGGTAACACTCCTCATGATGTATCATACTGCTGTCTGAGCTCAGAGCCCTTCGCAGAGGTTTTGGGCCAAGCAGCCATGGCGTGAGTGAGATACCTCCGTCCCTCCTTCTATACACTAGTCTCCTTTCTATACCCCATGTTCCAAAAAAACATTTGTATCTATTTCTACTTCTTCTCCTCCTATTCCAATCCGCCTATATCATCCTCCTGATATGTTCCAGTATCCATTGGAGGGTCGAAAGATCTGAGTAAAATTTCCTCTTGAAGAGTCTGTCGTTCCTTAGTCTCCAAATTACATTCATAATTGCAGCACGAGCCGCCAGGGCTACATACCCCCAACCTTTTCTGTATGATATCTTAGCTGGTAGAATACCATCCATGATAAATCTCGCGTCCCATTCAATTTTGCATTTGGAGAAGTTAACCCAGTGTGATTCTCACCATCTCCAGATTCTACGGGATTCAATACATCCCCACCACAAATGAACTGCAGATTCCGGTTATTTCTTACATCTTGCACACTTGGTTTGTACGTGCATATTCTTTTCTTTTAACCACTTTGTCGTGGGTAAAACCCTGTGTGATTGAAGCCATGTGAGGCTGGTCATTTTCACTGACGGAATTCTCTGATTAGCGTCCCACAACCGATTAAGATCTGAAGAGATGACTTCTTGTCTCTTTGAGCCTGTCATTGTTTTTTCTGAATTTCACTTATCCTTGACCAACAAAAGAGTGACCCAATTTTTAATTTGCAAGCTGTACCCCGTCTTGGGGACATAATCCAGGAGTTTTTAGTCCCCTTGCCACCCATGTGGGGACCAACCCCAATGGCAGGGGAGAGCCCTGAGTTTGCCTACCGAAGAGGTACCTAGGGAACAAATCAATCTTTGTTGTTTCCTGCTTAGCTCTCGTACTCTTACTACCACTTGTTTGTATCATCCCCTGACTCTCAATGGAACAGGTTGTTCCTCTTGTGAGATCACCAGCTGTCCGTCCTACTGTTTCTTGATGAGTCCTCTCAAAGTCCTTACTGTATTTCCGTGTGTCACGCTTGTTATTTTCCATATAGATTGGGTGTGCTCCTCCGTGCCATCCGTCACCCAATGCCCTCGTAGGACGGAACGGGGTCTGAGAGAGCGTTTTTCCAATCTGAGGGGATGCTAACTATAATATGTTATAACCTTTCAGATACATGCTTGAAATGTTTCATCTTGGATCCCAACACTGTCCCCGTCCTCCAACAAGCGGTATCTACATTTTACAGGTCATTAACACCTTTCTGAATCCAACTAATCCCAAAGGAACCTTGGTCTTCTGCAACCAACCAAGGGCCACCATTTGGTTGACAAATCCATATATTCTCGAATATGTGTTGTTGGAGGACTTCCTCCACAGAAGTAGGGAACCCTCGTTGTTCAGGTAGCATTCGAGCCCATGCCGCCAAAATATCTGACCGGACTCTTGATTTTACTTTCTTTTTGACAAAACCTTTAGTGAGCAGGCATACTCCCATGTCCTCTGGTCTTGATAACTGTCATTCTTTGGCTAGAATATGCACAGCCAGATCCAGCCATGGGTGTCCTGAATCATCCAGCAAAATTTTAACTGGCCACCTAGCCAACAAAACGATCTGTTGTTCCGGATTTAAGATCCCCAGACCCCCGTTGTGCTTTTCTACAATCACCTTATCCCATGATACCTTTGCAATATATCCTACATTGTCATCAAACACCCCTTCCAGAGATATTTCCTAGCCGCCTTGATAATTCTCCCATATGCATCTCTCTTCAGCGGACGAACCGAACCCGGAAACCATCCGTATAAAAATATGTTCATATTAAGGATAAGGGTCCTCCCTTGGATAGAAACCCTCTGGACTCCGGCTGCTCTTTCAATTTTTGCCAAACTTTTCCCTTCAATAATGCTACTGGCTTGTTTTTTTACCTCCCCAAAACCAACTTGGATCCCAAGAAACCTCTCACACTCGTGAGGTCCCCACTCCACAGATAACCAACTGTTCTTATTGAGGATCGCTATGGATTTAGGCCGATTAATCACTGCTTCCGACAATAGAGAATAAAGATCTATGCATTTCTTAAGGGCCCCCAAGGAGGGTTCAGAATTGACTGAGAGAGCAAAGAGCTCATCAACCATGGTCGATGCTTTGCACTCCCTTCCTGAGCCAAGACAAAGACCATTGATTTCTGGATTCTTCCTTATTGTCGACAATAAAACTTCCATCTGGATGACAAATAACAGAGGGGCTAAGGGACATCCTTGCCTGAGAGACCTAGAGAGTTTGTAAGGTTCAGAGATCTGCCCATTAACAATCACCTTCCCCACCCCCTTTGTGTACAAAGACTTGAACCATTGACGAAAAGGTTCCTCAAACCTCGCCAATTCGAGCGTCTTGAGAACGAAGTCCCAATTGACCATGTCATAGGCTTTCTTTAGATCCAGAAGAAGGGTCACAACATCTTGCTGATCTTGCTTCATTAGCTCCAGTGCCTCCGTAATTAACATAATATTATTCAAAATATTACTGCCGGTTACGAACCTTGCTTGTTCAGCCCCTATGAGAGTAGGGAGGTCTTTCTTAAGTCGTAAGGCGAGAGCTTTCGCCAAAATTTTGTACAAGGTATTGAGGAGGACAATCGGTCTCCAGTTCCTTATATTTCTCTTATCTCCCTTCTTATACAACAAAGACAGAATGCCCAAACGAGATTCCTGTCCCAAGTCTTTCCCTTCCAAGAGACGGTTATACATTGTAATGAACTCCGGGCCCAGTGTGTCCCAAAACAACGAATAATACTCTACTGGGAGGCCATCGCTCCCCGGGCATTTGCGTTTTGGCTTGCTGTTGGCTGCTACCTTAAGCTCCTCTAGGGTAACATGTTTATCCATGTCAAGACTTCCGTGTGTTGGGATGCGGGCCTCAAAAGTTTTTCAGAATTCTTGTTGCAGCGGGATTCTGTTTGGGCCCCTTCCTCTGTCCTAGTGGACTAAAAAATATTATTGAAGTAAGTTCGTGCATACCCAAGAATCTGATGTGTATCCTTTGCTATTAGCTCGAAAGGATCAA